GGTGTGCTGCTTGTTTGTTTGAATGTGTGTGCATGTAAAAGTGTGCAAAAGTGTGTGTGTGTGTGTGTGTGTCAGATAGACAAAGAGTGTGCTCTGTCTCTCTTTTCCTTCCTGCTCTCTTCTTTCTGAGTTTGGTCGTGGTTCCCCCGGGGCCCCTGTCGCAGTAATGGCCTGCTCCTGATTGCTCTGATACAGGTTAGGAATATTGGCTTTAATGATGTGTAAAATGAGCAAGCAGTGCCTGTGACATTTACAGATGGCACTGCCTTGGCCTGTTCTTCCCAACTGCTCGTTAATTCACGGGAACGGCAAGCACTTCTTTAAGTGACTGCCTGATGCATGCATACAACACAGCACATCCTACACACCAAAAAGAAAAAATAGCTCACCTTGTGTACTACTGCACCTTGTCATAATTTCCAGCCAAGTGTTCGCTAAAATGGATAAAAAAAAAAGAAGTCCTCAAGGCTCAGAGCTGTTTGCAAAGTCCTTTCCAACAGAACGGTCTCCAGAGGTCTTTGAAAGGCTTAGACAGAATAGTTGCTGTGCTGCTGCACAGCTGGGCTCAGCACCAAACCCCCCCAGGTGCTAATCTGGTCTACAGGTCCTCGGCAGTGCATCTGCTACACATACACAGTGATAGAGGGATCACTGTCCTCAGGTCACCCTTTTGTCTTTCAGGGTCCAGTTTAATTTTCAGTTCAAGCATTTACCTTTATGATGTACAGCAACAAACATTTTTAAAATAATTTTTTAATTTTTCTCTAATGGCAGCCAGTCAGTAGTGGAGGAAGATCCTTTACCTACATAGCAGTACAAATACAGCCATTTTAAAATGCTGCTTTACATGTACAATTCCTGCATTCATAATCCTATCTACAATCAGTAAAAGTAGAAATGTATTATCAGCTGAATGTACTTAAAGTATCAAAATAATTATATATCACATTATTCAATTGTTTGATTGCTCCTTAAATAACAACCATACAGATCAAATGAGAAAAGGAGGAAGTCGGATGACACACCAATCAGCCATAACATAATGACCACTGACTGGTGAAGTGATTAACACTCATTATCTCATTACAGTGGCACCTGTCAGTGTGTGGGGTGTATTAGGCAGCAAGTGAACAGTCAGTCCTCAAAATTGATGTGTTGGAAGCAGGAAAAATGGGCCAGTGTAAGGATCTGAGTGACTTTGACAAGGGCCAAACTGTGATGGGTGGACAACTGGGTCAAAGCATCTCCCACACTGCAGGTGTTGTTGGGTGTTCTGGTCTGCGGTGGTCAGTACCTACCAACAGTAGTCTGAGAAAGGACAAGCAGTGAATGGGCGACAGGGTCGTGGACGCCCAAGGCTCACCGACCTACTCTAGATTCAACTTTTATATTTCATTCAAAATATTCCATTTTGTATGAATCATTGTTGATTTACGGTTGAATTGGTCTAAAAAAAATTTCTAACTTGTCCCTCGACCACAATTTTCACGTCTTTAATTTTTTTTTATCATTAAATGATAGACACAGTTGTCCTCTTTCAGACAGTACAACTACAGAAGCAAACAGATTCACACAAGACGCACTGTGACAACACAAGATCTTCCTCTGGGAAGTACAGGTTGGAGGCCTTGTTGCATTTATCTGTTGGAGCTGAGATTCCTTCTGAAATCTTTAGGAGTATAAGTAACATGAAATGCTGAAGTAAAGTAGAAGAACCCCAAAGCTGTACTTGAGCAAATATATTCAGCTTTTTGTATTATAAAATATTCTGCCTATTAAAGTGCTGTTGTGTTGCTGCTGGAAGCCATCAAGTATCTGATCAAGAGTATCTGTAACTGAGAGGTTCTTGAACTGTTTTATGATCCATGTAAATGGTGGACAATGTGCATCTTTATCTGTTCCTTCCCCATTGTAACTTTATGGCCATTACACTCTAATTTCCTTTTTATTATGCCATGTTAATTAAGGAAAATCATATTTTGCTCATTCTTCACAGTTGGCTCCTCCATTAGATTGAAATGGTGTTCTTTCTTGTCCACCCACTATCAGCGCTGTGTTAATTTATTTCTAATTGGCAAGAACTTGTTGATCGTAGGCTCACAGATAGCTGTGGTCAGGAGGTTAATGCTCATGTTAATGTGACAAGGTGATCGTTCCTCTGCTAGCCATTTGCTAACTGCAACCACTGAGTAATAACAGAAGCACTAATGGTCCCTTTACAAGCTCATCATGGCGGGTGCCTGCAAGATGGCCTTGACACATTGTTCATGCTTAGATTTACTGTCTGTGAAACGAACACTTTGACCTTAGCATTATGCCTACGTGGAGCAGAATTACTTTGGCTTGCGGAGCTGAATTGCCACACCGTGGACAACATTAAAAAGTAATGTGAGTGTGCCGGAGCTGCATGTAATGACAATATCTGTATCACACATAAGAATTTCTGCTGCGCACGCTCCTCTGTCTGTTTAGTGGCTACAGTATGTCTCGTGTGGGCATTACTAAGCATGGAGAATTAGATTTGTTTTCCCTTGTATACTCATCAGTTTAACAAATCAGCCATCCGTTGCTTTTTTAATCTCCATAATGAAAGTGTTTTAATGCCTCCAATTTATTGCCTGGGCAGCCAACAGAATAATTAGCTTTGTTCAGGTTTTTAAAAAGATGAAAACACAAGTATAACAACATTTCAGCCTGGGAACCCCAGACTATAATAAAATGCATTAGTTATTGTACCTGAAGGCATATTGGACAAGAAAAAAATGGATTTCTTTTCTATGTATTTTCAATTAATCAAGCATTTTGTTTAACAAAACAAATTTTATTTTCATAATTTCTGCTTTTATTTTCTTCCACTTTTAGGATCCTGTAAGTTGGCCGTTAGTATTCCATCAAAGATGTTTATATTTCAATCCCTGCTAGTGTTTTAAATGTCACACCAACATAAAGTGTTTCTTCACTGTATGTCTAAATAAAGAGGCTTCCAAGTCTTTATTGATTCTCTGTGACCTGTAGTCGATTCTCCAAACTAAATCAGATAATTGAAGTTGGTGTCGAGCTAATTGGATTATTACTTTCCCCCTGAAGAGATGGCCCTCCTCCACAGCACAGCGATTGCTACATTAGCGCGTCCATCAGACACCTGTCATTTAACGGCACAGGGATGTTTCTCACACCAAGGAGGGTGAATTGATTATAAATAGAAAGTGTGGTAATTTCATTGATTAGGTGATTTGTTTGACGATCTTGTCATAATGACATTTCTTTAAAAATTCATAGAGAGTTAATTTGACAAATTATTTCTTCACATATCAAAAGTCAGACTGGATTAAAGTATATTTGTGCAATGAGAATGCTTTGTACTGGAGAGTAACTTCTATTGATTATACATGATATCAACACTAGGTAATTAATAAAGCACACCAATAGCATATCTGCAGAACTGTTTCAGGATGTAGTAGCCCAAGCTACACAGGAAAAAAGCACTACCCTTGTGTGTACTTGCCTCCAGTCTACCGAACATGCGTTATGCAAATGAGATGACTATTTGCATAGACATAATTAGGTAATTACTAATCATTTGTCTATGAGCTCGAGCATGTGCAGAGACCAGAGATGCTACACGAGTCACGTTGTACAGTATGGAGTTAATGAATTGCTTCTGAACAGCGGAGACATTGCAGCATGTGTTGAAACATATGTTGTGTCAGGCCTCTTGTTTGAAAACGACAGGTGACATTTCTATAAATTTTAGTTAAACACAAAGAGTGTCAAGAACCGCTGCTGATTCACAATTTTCACAGCCAGTTTGAAGTGAAATAAAATAGTTTTTCATGGATTTTTTTCCCCCCACAGACACTAGTCAAAATACAAAGTATATGACCTAAAGCTACTGTAGCTATGTTCTGTCTGCCAGTTGTGTAAATCTTATATAGTTAAACCGATTTTTAAAGCACTTAAGGGCAATAGGGCAATAAACTTAAGTTACTGTTATTATAAAAGTCTTGCTAAAATAACATGTCAAACGATAATCATCTAGCACAAAGAGCTGGTTAGCTGGAGCACCAGTATGCAGCTCTTGTTTACTGCAGTGGGTCCGAAACGTGCAGAAATTAGCTTTAGCAAGCTAGAGGCGTATACACCATGATTGTGGGTGAGCCCATGTTTTTATGTGTTTAATTATAAGCTGATTCAGAATTGACTGTACCAGGACCTCCAATACATTCACGGTGCATCTTTGCCTGGACAACACAAAGCAAACCTGCACGGTTTTGTGTTGACATGCGTCTTCCAACTGAGTTTATATGCAATTGGGGCACCTCAGAAATATGTTTCATGGGTCACAGTAGTCTAGCAGCTAAGACACATGCCCTGTGATTGTTACATTCCTTCTTCAATGCCAGCTGGTGACCTTTGTTGTATAATCCCACTTATTCCTCTCACTCAATAAGAGAATTTTTTGTTATCCACAATCCTCTCAATCTAAATCCAATTTGTATTTCAAAACAAACCGTTTCTATAGTTTTAATGCTATAATCATCAGAATAGGTACAAATTCTAATTTCAGTTGTTATGTTGATCATTGAGATGGTCTTTTCATCAAAAACACAAAAAAAAACAAAAAACGGCAGTGCCAGGGAGCACAGAAGGTGCCAAGAAATCATTTAAATGTTGCTGTTGTTCAACAGAAGCTCATTCCATCTTGCATTCGTGCATGGATGGGCCTCAATCACTGAGCTATGCAGGTGACTTTCAGAGTCAGATTGCACCACCAACATGCGCATTGCTCCTGCTAATGTGTGCCCCATCCAGTTTTGGTGGCAGGTGCTGCTTTCCAACTATACAGATGTGAATCAGAAATAAGCCAGAATCTGTTTACAAGCAACGGCTCACCTAGACACCACTTTGTCCAAGAAAACGTTTACAGCACAAACATAATGTACTGTAGCCCTTCCCTCACTGGATTAGCTACTAATTTGTTATTTATTTTTGTTTTCCAGAGCAAGAGGATTCCTTTGAGTTCATCATTGTGTCTTTGACGGGTCAGACATGGAACTTTGAAGCATCTACGTATGAGGAGAGAGAGCTGTGGGTCCAAGCGATTGAGAGCCAGATCTTTGCTAGTCTGCAGTCTTGTGAGAGTATAAAGAACAAGGTGGGTCATAAAAAATGAGAACTATCTTAACAACTGGACATGGTTGGTGATTATCATCCAATCACAGCATTGCAATCATCCCATGATTCTACTTCTTCATTTACATTCCTGTTTTTCCCTTTTTTTCACCCTTTATTGCACCCTCACCCTCGCCCCCCCACACACACTCTTCAGCTGCCAGATATGGGAGGTTGTCAGGCAGGTGCGCCGCAGTGTGGGAGATCACTTATTAGAACTGACAGACATCAGAGATAGAGCACGGCTTGTGTCAGCATACTGGGGAGACACGGTCTCATTTTCATATTCATGTTTTCTCTGCTTCAGTCTTTTCCTAACACTTTGAATCCTCTTCCTCCCCTCCCCTCAGTTTTTTTTTTTTTTTCCATGATTTGAGTCCACCTCCATAATTGCTGACATATTCTTTCCCTCATTCCCTACAGTCTCGGTTAGGCAGCCAAAGTGATGCAATGGCCATTCAGTCCATACGAAATGTGAGGGGGAACAGCTTCTGTGTGGACTGCGATGCACCCAGTGAGTATAACCCTTCACCACAACAGCTAATTTGGTATTGATAAAATAAGATAATCCTTTTTCAGTCCCATAGCAGGGAAATATAACAGTGTTGTAGCAGATAGTAAAAACAGCACGAAAAAGATATATAAAAACAAATTCTGTGAAAGTTTAATATAATAAGAATCCAATCAGAGATGTTTGATTACAACATTAACAATTGATTTGAGTAGTTAAAAATATTACTGAATTAAAAATTACAGTGACAGACTACGACATCTGTACCTAACTTGATTGCTTTTCACTAAGCAATTACTGAGATCCTTCCAGTAAGGTTAGTTTTCCGTGCAGCATTTCAAGCAGATATACCCTACTCACATGGTTTAATTCAATTAGAAGCATCAAATATTATCTTTAAAACTTGATTGGATTTGGATTTCAGATTACCACTCCCTCACTCATTATTGCCAGTTACTAAAGACAGAAAATCCAAATCTGGGCAACTGAGTGGAGCAAAGGTTGGATGTGCAAGCAGAAAACACTTTGCATTTGATAAGCTATTGACACCTGTCATAGGAAAACCACCACCAACAGACCTCTGTCTCTCTTTCCTTCCTTTTCATGTGAAAAAGCTGTAATTTATACTGTAGGTAGTACTGTGTACATCGTACACAGTAAAAGTTACAAAATAAATGTCTGCTTGTTCAGTTTACATGTCTTTCACTGGCAGTAACACCAGGAAAATTCTTACCTATCTACCTACCTATCTATCTATCTGTCTGTCTGTCTGTCTGTCTATCTAACTATCTGTCAATGTATCTATCTATGTTCCATAACTAAGTCCTTTATGGGACTGCTGGAATGCAGGGTAACCCTCGGGAACTCTTTTTCCAATTTACCCAGATGGAAAAAGTTCATTACAAAAAGAGATCATCATTAATCATTTGTTTAGAGTAAATAATGCAGCACTGTAGTGGTCATTTTCTGTCTGTGTTCTCTAACGCAGATCCAGACTGGGCCAGTTTGAACCTTGGTGCCTTGATGTGCATTGAGTGCTCAGGCATCCATAGGAACATGGGCACCCACCTGTCTCGCGTACGCTCCCTAGACCTGGACGACTGGCCGGTAGAGCTCAGCATGGTGATGACTGCCATCGGAAACACAATGGCCAACAGCGTGTGGGAGGGCGCTCTGGAGGGCTACACCAAGCCAGGCAGCGACAGCACGAGGTTAGCATCCTTTTGCAAATAAAGGTGCTGCTTAATGAAGCATGCAGAGATTACAGAATGAGAAGCCAGCACTGTCTTCTCTCCATTAGCTGCCATTTATTAGCCACTCACATTTCAGTACAGGCATTTCACACCACAAATTGCTCCACAAGAAGAACCAGGGGTCCAAATGTCTATTGAGCCAGGGATACAGTGTTTTATTTTTTTAGCATGAGTTCATACTGTACACACTGATCACAGTGAGTACTTTGTACAGTATACTGTATCCCTTTGTCTCCTCATTTTAGGATATACAATAACACCTAATACTTCCACCACAGTATTTGTTTCTCTAAAAGAGTATCATGTGTGACATCATTTTACACTCACCTGACAAATGCCCTGATTAGCTCCAAATTCATCCGGTTTGTCACTTGACATGAGCGGTAATCAGGAGATTTTATACTCTAAACTGTCAGCTCTAAAACCAGCCCAAGCCCTTTGTTTGTGCACAGGGTCAGTGTACACAGATGCAACTAACAGTAAGTAGGAAGGTTGAGTTTTTTTGTACAAGATTCTGAACCAAAGTTCTCATTGTTGTTTTCTTTTTTTGTAACAAGTCTAACAAGTGGCTTTCTGTCTTTTTAAAAATACTTAAATTATACTTTGCCACTTGCCCCGCACTGCCCTGCCCTAAGTTATACAGTATCTGTTCCTCTGAGGTACCCAGATCTGGTAGGAGGATTGTTTATCTCTTGGTGACAGGTTAGACCTGGCGTCCCAGTCTGACTAATGGCCTGCTGTTTGGCTGAGCCGGTAATTAAGCACACCATTATAGCTAAACCCCACCTCAAGAGCCAGGCCCTCAGGCCCCAAGCTGCCCTGTCACTTATCCATCACACAGGGCTGGGTCATCACTCTGTCTGTCACAGCGAAGACTGTCTGTAGGGTCTCCCTGATGGCATTAGACTGTTTCAACATCACAGCTTTGTAACTTTGTTATTAAGGAACGTGACATAGCAACAGAAAGACACAGCCAGTCTCTTTTTTTTTACTAATGCTGCTGCTTCAGCTACTGTTATTCAAAAATAATACCGATTTTGTAATATACAGTGTTAAGGCTATACAAAGGACTGTGATGTGTGTTGTGCTGTCAGCTAATTAAATATTAATAATGTCTGCCAGTGTTGGAACATCAACTTTGATCAGTTATTTTTCAAGCCAGAACTCAAAACATTTGCTGGATCTAACTTTATATTAAAATTTTTTTATTAATTGTAAATTGAATACATTTTTACACTCTGGTTTTACACATTTGGTTGTCATCATTTCACTTATAAAAACTTGTGACAATTGTAATATTTTGTAACATTTTATCAGAGTAAACTGTTTAAATTTCTAAGACAAAAATGTGCAGGGATTCTATGAGGATTTTGTTTTTAACAAGGTAAAAATCTCTGAAGCACTATGAAGACCATAATGTGACATGAGAAAATGCCCCTTGAAACCTCTGATAATGAAATTTAAGTGTTGAATTTTGCCCTAAAAAGACAAAAAGATTCTCGTTTGATTTTATGGACTCAAACTAAACAGAACTGATGACTCTTTAAAGACCTTAAGTCATATTCTAAGATTTGTTATTGTCGACTTTTACACATCATATCTCCCACATCCAGAACGTGAGGGACAGTCATACTAATGCATGTTTTTGGTGAGTCATTTAAAAGAAAAAGGCACCTATGACAGGATCGGTTTTCTCAGGAACTAAGTACATTTAAAAGTTTTGGATTTATTGCACTACTATAAATAAAGAACATTAGGATGTTTTCACATTAGGCACGATTGCTTTGTACCATGCCAAAGCACAATTGTGTCCCCCCTCCCCTCTCCCCCGCAGGTCTCCTTTCACATTAACATCTTTCTGTGCCCCAGCACACTTGCGTATGTACGCAATGCACTACAATAGGTGGCAGTATGCATGTTCTTGGTTTGAAATCCACCAAGAAGAAGCAACCATTTGTTGCAGTTCCACTCGTATTTAAATACAGACAAATACTTCCAATAATCTCACAGTGTTTGCGTGTAGTATCCAGTTCTTTGTATGTTTCCATTGGCATTTTACTTCTTTGTTATTCCACAGGGATCCTTTTGTAGCCATGTTTGTTATCATTTTAATAAACAGAGTCGAATACTTATGAAGTCACAAAGCAGCCCACTTCCTTGTTTGAGCATGGTTGCATTCACATCTACCGCAGACCATACTTGAGTACACATGAATCGTGCTGGCGACTACCTCTTCAGACAAACTCGGGCAAAGTTCCTGAGTCCACTATGCTTGTGTTCACTCTGAATAAAATGAACCGGACTTTAGGGTCAAGTGTACTCAGATCCGGGTCCCTAATGTGAAACCACCCTTAGGCTCATTGAACTGTGAAGAAGTCCAATGGAGCAGCCCCAGCACAATATTTTTGTTGTAGTTGCTTTTAAAAAGTCTTTTAATGTGCACATACTGACACCATTTAAAAACTCACTCTCTATTTTTTTTTTTTTTTTTTTGCAAGTGAACTGTTTTTCATTGTTCTTTCGGTCCACTGGTAGTCTCATACACTTTCCTCCTGCATCCATCCTCCGCTCTCCAGCCAGTTCAGAATTGAATGATGGCCTACAGTTATTTATTGAATGGTATCTGTGCTAAAGTGCTCCACTCTGGACTTGATGAAAGATTATTGATGTTGATTCCTCTCCCTACCACTGTCAGTCCCGTGTCGCCTCAAGCAGGAAGGTTCTTCATTGTCTAAAAATCCGATCTCTTCCCGCAGCAACATCTCCATTAGTTTTTACTGTCAAACAATAAATCTCATTTGCAGAATAACTAATCCTCAGACAAAAAGCAGCTGTTGTAGATCTCATCTATGACCACTGGTTATTAAAATGCTTATGGTTTTGTTGCTGATAGAATAATATATCCTTCTGGGGTAAATATTAGTATGAAATTATTTTGCTTTATTATGACTGATGGATTATAACCAACTTAACGAAATGCAGTTTTTGTCTTTCTTTAAATCCTCGCTTGACTCTTTTTTTTTTTTTGTATGCTGTTCTTAACCTGAGTAGAGGACATATGAGAGGATTTTAATTGTGTCATATCGGTGACATGCAGCAGCTTTGTGACGGCACCTAGGCAGGCAGTGTGTGGCTCCCGCCTCCCACTAAACATTAGTGACACCTAATCTAAACGATTCAGTAAGTACCTGAATATCAACTCTGTGTCTGATTGAATGTCTTCTGCAAGACTAGTTTTATCCCTTTCATTTTTGAGATTTAACTTAAAAGCATTCATCCACAAGATTGGTTTAGCTTATGATATTTTGGATTGAAAGAACACAGTATATTAATTATATATATTATATCTATGTAGATCCACACAGCAACACTGAAATTCCTGGTGTACATCAGACTGATTGCAGGCATGTTAATGGGAATGCTTATATCCATGTATATGTACACGGATGTCACCTGATTGTCTTTTTAGACCTTATGGAAGAACTTAGTGACTCACTATTTATAAGGTGTTTTTAAGATCTAATTAATAGCTTTATCAACAGTTAATAACTCACTTGCAAATGCCTTTCAGATAAGTTAAAAGATGCTCAAATGAACACCTTTTGGATAAACTAGCTGCAAAAAATCCTTTTGGCTGCCTTTCTAGTTGGTAATAATGTAGTCTTAAATCTTGTTAATCCAATAATAAATACTCCCAGGCTTCTTATCTGCAATTCAAAAGGATAATAATTAATTAATAACGGATTTTGATCCTCAAGGCTGCAGCTGTGTTAATATGTTGTTAAAAACAGATTGATTTTGATCCAGATTTCCAGAAGACGTAAGGTGTTTCAAAGAGCCAAAGAGATTTTTCACGACCCAGCAACCCAGAGTTGCTCTTGTTAATGGCTTATAATTGATTTATAAAGAATTAATGATTTACTAACCACTAATGAAGTCACTAGTTACAATTTATCTCCCATTTCTTAAGGATGTGTCATTAGAAAGTGGTCAGTCAGGTCTGGTCAGGCTACATTTAAACCTGTGACAATAGATTATGGCTGATGTCTGCAGTCTGCATATTGGAGGGGAGTGGTTCTTTTAATTAGCACCTGGGAGTTGTTGTGTTTTGCACGTCACCTCTAATTGCTTGGCCTCTTCTTGATAGAAAACACCACAGACTATTTTGACGGATGCTGTGGGGGAGGTCCACCATCTAACTTACCCTTACCTTCTCCTGGTACACACACACACAGTAAAACACACATACACAGATACCAGTTCTCATTTGGGGGAGATGTCCTGGAGCGTGGACGGATGTGGACGGCTATCCCTCACTGACACGGGCCTCTCACTGTCACCCTCTGTAGGCTCCGCGCTGCCCTCGGCCACAGGCAGGTAATAGCTCTGATGAGAGCCCTCCACTTTGTTTCAGAAATAATTTGCCACTCCTGCCGCCTGCAGGGGCTGCGTGGTAATAAAAATGAATCACACCGCTAACCTCTCCAAACCTGGCCCCACTGCCTCTTTTAACCCCTTCTGCTCTGACAGTGGGATTTTGACTCCTCCTCCCAAGCTCCCAAACAACATTGGTGCTGTGCCCATAAGACTTTAGGATTTGTTCACAGTGGCCTCTGTCCTCCACGTTTGTCCCTAAGACACGGAGCAAAGCTTCTCGGCTGCTCACAGGTTAGGAGTGTTGGAAGGCCAACTCTCAGAAGAGCGTTTAGAATAGCCGGCCTTGCCAGGAGCCCTGGTGGAAGAAGACTAATTAATTAAGACGAATGACTGGGTCTTCCCATGTCCTCCCTCTCTCTCTCTCTCTCTTTCTCACTCTCTAAATGAAACCCACAGGTCAGTAATTAGCCCTGTGTGGGAGAAGTAGTAACACAGTCACTAATTGCCCACATGCCACCAGGTTTCAGAGCCAGGTAGACGAAGAGAAAGAACCGATTCACTATAGTACCGTCTACATAACAGTGCAATTTTGTTTCATATTGTTAGCATCACAAAGTTCTTGTCTGATGATGTAAAGGAAAAAAGGGTCCAAGCCCTTTATGCGAATAAGATTTTGCATACATATGTGAAGAAGGCTGCATACATAAGCAGGGCATGTGTTATTGTACACTGA